GTGGGTTTCTAAGGCAAAGCCAAATCGGTACCTATGTATGCTATCAATGAAGAGCTGAAGTTTTTTATTTTGCTTTGAAAAATTCTCAAGAGTCAAAGAATCTTATTTGAACAACTTTCTCGCAATGCAAACCAGCAACCCCACATTCTCGTGATTATGACTCACATACCTTGGCTAAAGCAGATAATTGAAACAAATATACACAGAAAAAGAACTTTACAAAATGAGCGACTTACAAAAGAACAAAACAGTCGACTTGCATTATTACGCAAGAGATGCCAGCCTCATAAAAAACAAAATCAAATTCGAAATTTAGTTTCATGATTATCCTGAATCATCAATTCATAATACAACAGCACTTTCCATACTATACTTTCTCATACAATTGCATTTTCCATATTAAAAAAAAGTATCCAAACGATTTCATTTGCAACATCATGAAATTCTTTAAGGGTATTCATACCCCAGCATAATTTATTTAGAAAAAATCACTTTCTTTTCTAAATTAAATTCTTAGTTCAAAAATTTGAATTGCACAGAGGCGAAGTTGCAATTCGCATACACAAGCAACAATATGACCGATAACACTACTGGGAAAAAATGAATGAGTAAAACTTTGAGTCTACAAAATTTCTTAAGTGACGTACGCCAATTATGACGCATTAGCAGTACCAGTCAATTTGAACAAAAAAAAGAAATTTACCAACTAACATGCCTCAATTTATCAGCAGTATATGGAACAGTAAAAACATGAAAAAATAAAATGTAATGATAATAAAATCATTTTTTTTAAATTTGAGATTTGTGAAAATCATCCACCCACACGCCATATTAAGTACAAAGTGACACATTTCGCTCCTAGTGACAAATCAATTATGGCAAAAAAAAGCCTCCTTCAACCAATTTGAAACAATTTCTATGACGCATTAATTCTCCGCTTACGCATTATTTGCGCGAAAAATATCGCGCGTTAATTGTCCCAAATTGGCCAAAATGGCAATCTTTAAACCCCCATAACGCAACAAAAAATGATCTTAGGTAAAATATCTTTCAAATTTAAGCTCAGGTTAACAATATCTTTTGATTGATGTAAGAAAATTCTATTAAAATGGCTAGTTGAAAATTCGAATTTTGTCTGAAGAAAAAAACCACCCGAGCACAAATATTTCGTTACTTTCATTACAAAAGCCGGAACAATAATAGTTAAAATCCTTAGCATTGGTTGTACTTAATAGCTGGTTATTGAGCAAAATGAACAAGATAGTTCATACTATAACACAAGCATTGTTTGTGTAATAATAAAGCGTCAATATCGAAATGAATGCATCTTCAACAAAGGACGGGGGAATTCAACATAAGTAATTTCAACTTAAAGGTTTTTTGAACTAGAATAGTCAAATCTGAAAAATATTTGGTTTCCGTTCTTCGAATTTTTTACTCCAAAAGGAAGACACCATAAAAAGGCCGAAAGCAAGCACCTTAAAAAAATGAGCAACATGCAATAATAAAAGGTCATATCTCAGAAGATTGAGAAGTTTAAGTTCTGTTAATTTTTTAAACGAAAATTTTTTGAAAAGGTAATTTAAAAAAAAAACATTGAGAAGTCATATCTCGGAAACCAAAAATATTTGAAACGTGATCTTTAGAGAAAAGATTTGCAACCCTTGAGAGTACCTCGACAGCACCTGTCTGCCGGGTTCCAGAATTTCAAACATTTGTGAAATTTTGTAACTCTAAAACTGAAAAATGTTGGAAAAATTATGAAAAAAACGTCAAACATCGAAGATATGAAAAATTAAGCAGTCGTATTTGGAGGCAAGACTTGCATAGCCTGAGAGTAACCTGACAACACCTCTGCATAGAGTTGAAAAACTCAAGTTTTGTCAAATTTTTCATATCTAAGTTCTTTGAAAAAAATTCGAAATCATAAAAAACATCATATCTCGGAAACTGAAAGAAATTCAGCAGTCATATTCTGAGGCAAAACTAGCAACCCCTGAGAGTACCCCGACAAACCCCAACTACAGGGTTGAGAAATTCAAACTGTGAGAAATTTTTTAAAACCTAACTTTTCTGATAACTTTTGAAAAATTCACAAAAATCGTTTATCTTTCAACAAAAAAATTTAAGCAGTCTAATTCAGAGGCAAGCTTGTAACCCCTGGGAGTACCTTGACAGTATCTTGAATTTTTGAATCTAAGCTATCTAAAAACACACGAATGGTCGAATCTTGTGAACTATAAACAGTTGGGTACGCATATTTGAAGGCCCAATTCACCACTCCTGGGGAAATCATGACACCATTCTACTATTGGGTTGCTAATTTCAAACTTAGTGCATTAAACACTGAATTGAAGCTGGAAAATCGAAAAAAAATCTTAAGCATTGTAATATACGATAGCTTAGACGTGAAAGACTTCTTTTGTTTCGTTAAACATGCGAAAAAAATACATTGAAAACGCTTAAATATGGCGACATCATGAAGCACGCATTTAAATAAATAAATTTCGGCATTTACGGGCTCTTTTCTACTGAAATGGTCAAATCAACTGGGTTTGAGATCTTTGTATTTTAACTTTGCCATGAAGGCAAATTTGCGCTTCGCAAATACTAGCGAGTATACGACAAAAAATTGGCTTAACAAAACTAAATAAGAAAAGAAGTAAACATTAGCCTTCAAAAATAAAACTTTATCATCAAGTAATTTTTGAAATATTTAAAGACGCCACATATCGAAAACTTAAGGGATTTGAATAGCCATATTTGGACTCACATCTGCTATTCCTAGGAGTACCCTGAAATCAACCTTACCCACCATCTATGCGACTGAGGTTTTTAAATGGTTTTAGGAAATTTTTTTAGGTTTTAAAAATTATCAGATTATCTTCAATTCAAAAATCTCGAGAACTAAAATAGTTGGAGCAGTCATATTTCAAAGCCAAAATTGAAAACCCCCAGGACAACCCTGACTCCATCCCATTACGGTTTCTTATAGCAAATTTTCAAGCACACACTGAAAAGAACAACTTTCTGAATGTTGGCATTGCGAAAAAAAAACCTAATTGACCTTGAAAATTTGACTCAAACTATTCGCTTCAGTAGACAGACATACTTCAACATTCGCTTATAAAATTTTAAAACTGACTACAGCCAAATTTTTGAGCGGTGGAAAGTAATGGTATTTTAACATGTCAAGATAGGGACTCCTTAAACAAATGTCAAATGAAACTCCAATAACGTAAGGTATAGATCAAACTTCCTTGAAAAAACTCAAACAAAACATGTTTCAATATTTGCACAACTTGACATACCATCAGTTGAAAAAGAATCACAAGCAGCTGACTGCTTTGCAAATTGTACAGATGTTCCAACATGTAACCAAAGCAAAAAGAAAAAATTAAACTTTAAATTTATGTTTTTGAGTTGTTGATGATGAAATTATCACTTAACGCGGCGTCTCCGTGACAGGTTTTAACGCGTCTCCGTGGCATGTAGCAAGAAGCGCGGAACACCAAATACAGATGGAGGGGAAGCAAAAGGAGAGACAGTGGGAAGGGGGTGGGGTTTTACCCGGCAGGGGGCGCTTTTTCTTTCACCTCACATAAGCATCCGGTTTATAGTGCAGCGAGGGTTTTACAATTTTAATTATGAAGAGCAAGTATTTTTGTCATGACCTATTTAATTAGCATGCCAGTTGTTGCAAAAATCTGACAACGAGCAAAACACGCAGGCGAGGGCAAGGAAAAAGAGCCCGGCGTAGTGTGTGTGTGTGTGTATGTGCGTGGACTAGAATACGGCCTAAATTGGTTGCGAAAACAGCTTCTCTAGGATTGACGTTAGCAACGAAATTATCAACAAAATACAACAAGACTGCTCGTATCAGGGCGAAGCCCTGAAGGTTCCGACTGCCTTTTAAGGTTTATGGAGCAGCAGTAATAACATGAAAAATTAAATAAAATGAAATTTTTTTCCAAAATTTGAAATTTTTTGTGAAAATCGTCCCGCCACACGCCATATAAAGTACAAAAAGATAGATTTCGTTCCTTGTAACAAATCAATTATGGCAAATAAGCTTCGTTCAACCAATTTGGAACGATTTATAAGACGAATTAAATCTCCGCTTACGCGTTAATAGCGCGAATTATATCGCGCGTTAATTGTCCCAAATTGGTCAAAATGGCCAAAATGGCAATCTTTAAACCCTCATAACTTTACGAAAAATGATCACAGGTGAAATATCTTTTCAAATTCAAGTTCAGGACAACAATGGCTTTCGAATGATATTAAAAAATTCTGTCAAAAATGGCTAGTTAAAAAGTCGAAATTTGTCTGAAGAAAAAAAAAACCCACCCCGAGCACAAATATTCCGTTACTTTCGTATCGAAAGTCGGAACAAAAACAGTTTGGAACAAGGATAGAAGCAAGTAGCACTCAGAATGTTACAACCACTCATAACAAAATTTATTCTTGCAAAAATTGCGCGTTTTTGGTGAGAACAAATCGAACGCGTAGAAATTTAGTGAATTAAGCAAGTTGACAACAGTTGCCTTCGGAAAACAGATATAAACAAAAATCTAATTTTGTGCTGAAAAAACTTTAAGAGCAAAGAAGCGCTAAATGAAAATTCCAAACCAGTTTTCATGGAGTAAAGCTAAATTTTTCACGATTCAATTCAAAATTCTCATTTCAATTTTTAAGAGCGCAATATGTCGCGCGTTAATTATCCAAAACTGCCCAAATTAGCAGTTTGTAAAACCTATAACTTCAAAAAAAATATGAAAGGTGATTTCTTTTGACATTTGAGCTCCAGCCAATCATATCTTTCAGATGGTTTGAAATTTTCCATCAAAAACGTTCAGATAAAAATTCGAAAATTGAGTGAATGAAAAAAACAAGCTAAAATATACCACACTTTCTTGTAAAGTCGTAAAAAAAAACTATTTGAAGATATTTTGAAACTGAATGGGAAAAACGGCAAAAAATACGCATGGTATACTTACTGTTTTTTCACAGCGGTGAAAGTTGAATTCCAGAGAAAAACTTTAAATAATAAATATGGTCTACTCTTCTGTTTGATAGTAGCAAAAAAACAGGGGAATATTTGCGATTACTTAGCAAGTGCCACCACATTTGCCTCCATATAACAATCCCCCTTTTGAGCAGCGCAACTAATGTGAATTTGCGACACTTTGCAGCTAGCTAGCTACAAAACAAATAGATGATAAAATTGCGAATGAGGATATTAAAATATTAACGAAATACAATTTTTGTTCCAGCATAGGAATATAAGAGTATTTTCCTATCGCACCGCAACTTCACCGTTACCTTACTGCACATAAAAAAGAAGGAAAAGTTATAAGATATTCCATATTGAAGACAAAACGAGACTTTTTTCAAACAGAACTTGTAGAGTTAGCAATAGCTACACTTTTACATCCGCTTTTTATTCCTTCTGCAATTCGTAGTTGAAAACAAACGGTTATGCATCAATAAATGATAAGCTACACTTGAGTCGATTTTTTCTCGACTAGTTTTTTTTGTGCATGTTGCTGCAAAGAGCCTAAAGACAAGAAACTGAAAGGTTAAGGTGAACGTATTAGAAGCTACTTATAGATCTAAAAACATGAATGCTTCTTTGAACATCACTTTAAAAAAATGTTCTTAAGCAGCGCCCATAGCAATGTCAAGTACTTTAAATTATTACGTAGTTCAATACTGTCGCTTTGATTCCCCGATTTGAATGAGATAACTTCTCGCTTGTATTTGCAATTTTGCGTTCTAAGCATAAATTGAAGAGAAATGGGGTTTTCACACGGAAACGACAACAATGTGGATCTATTTTCTAAAATCAACCAAAATCATAAAATCATAAATCAAAAAGCAAGATACTTATTGAACAAACAATGAAAAATTTCATACAGCAAACTGTTGGATTACACCGCAACGAAGCGGAAAAGCAATTGCAAATAGAGCAGTGCAAAAATTACAAAATTGCACAAAAAAATAAATATTATTTCAGGGATGGTTTCAGAAAACCGAATTACGAAATATTAATTTTCGGATCTTGTTAACTACCCCCCCCCCCCCCCTATTTCGATTTTCAGAAATTCAACTTTGGCGGCCACATTTTCAATAGCTTGAAACAATTCCCATTTAAAACTTTTTACGTGGGTATTATATAAACAGTGAGTAATACAAATACGAACGCGCGAAAATGAAAACCTACTTAATTGTTGACATTTTTGAAATGCATATTTTATACAGAAATGGTTGTCAAAAATAATACATGCATAGGAGGAAATATTTAACAAGGTCCAAAAGTGGGGAATAGTTAACAAGATCCTAATTTCCTGTTGTTTTTACTAAAATTATAGAATTGATCATTCCTGGGCTATAATTTTAAATTTTAATTTGCAAACACCAGGAAAAGAGTAGTTTTATTTCATTTTTAGCTCAAAATTTTGCCTTTTTTTTGGTTAGTTTGATAAAAGAAACCAGTTTGATTTAAGAAACTTTGTTTGATTAAAGAATTGAGTGCTGCAATAATTGCGGAAACTGGGTTCACTGACATGGTCTGCAACCTTAATTTACTATTTCTAACTTTGACCATTCAGTGAACAAAATTAATTACGAGAAAAAGTCTAGTATTCGATTGCAAAACCCTTGCTTATCTCAAGGGTAAAACAAGCTTAGAAAGAAACCCTTTTCAAATCCTGCAAATTTTAAGAGAAAAGAAAAAAAACTGAAACAGAAATAAAGCATATTAAATTCTGTTGGAAGGCATGAAAATAATCATCGCAGATGTAATCGATTTGAAAGAAAAACTAAAAACATAATTCAGCCAAAACTATATCCATGATATTGGTTTTTGAAACTTACCAACCCCAGATCTACCAATTACAGTGTTCAAGCAGAAGTGAATTGAAGCTTCGCAACACTTGCGATACAAAAAGAACATTGCAGAACAAGACAGTGATTAAAAAAAAGACAGATGTCAAAAACTTTCTTGTAAAAGCAAGTTGAAAAAAGTTACTTATAAAAGTCCAAAAAAAGAAACACGTATAAGAATTTTATATTTTTTTTAAATCTCGGATGACGTTCATAAACAACCGTAAAAATATTGAGGATCATTTACCGAGCGGAAACTGAGGCGACAAAATTTGGGTCGATCCCCGTTGAGCCGAAACCAAAACTGTTGTCATAAAAAATTGAACTATGGAGCTTAAAAAAGTTTACGACCATGCCTACTGAAAAACAGAAGCAAAGAAATATAAACTTCGCCGTCGGAACTACACACTTAAAGTTAATCAAGCCTATATAACTTTAGCCCATACAGTAAAATCGAAAAGAAAATGGTTTCGGCTTATAGAACCTTCAATTATTACAGAAATTTCAATTAAGTTACAGACTGTTCAAAAAATAAAAACTACAAGTATGGTAACAAATATAGTAGTGTGTTCTAGGAATATTCATTAATTTGCGACAACCAAACAAAAAAGCGCAGGTCAACCTACTAAGATAAATTAAACATTCTGTAACTTTATATTGCTGAATATAAGTTTTTCAATATTTCAAAAACCATGACCAAAAAAATTCAAAAATTATGACCATAAATCAAGCCAAAAAAAATCATGACGAAATTGAAAAAAAAAATTTAATCCTTCAACCCTCTGATGATTTTCAATTACTCAAAAATAGCTTGCAGTCAGTAACAACTGAAGCAAAAAACCATTCAAAATCGTGTTCACTAAAATCATGATAAAACCGTAAATAGAGAAAAATCGTAAATAGGAAAATCAGTTCGTTCATTGGTAATAAACATTACATAACAAAGAGAAGCGAATATGAATTGTCTACTTCTTTTGCCTCAGTCAAAAGTTTGGTAGTGATAGTTCAAAATCCACGATCATTGCTCTCCGCTGGATGGGGAGAGAGTCAGGGTTGCAATGTTTAAAAGAGAGACTGTTTAAAACATGTTTTAAACACGTTTAAAACACTGTTTCAGACAACACGAATTTCAGCGTTTAAAACAACGACCCATGATGGGTCAATATTTCAACGCTTTCTGAGGGCGTCATACAATTGAGTTAATATAATTGGCTTTTTATTTAAGATCAAAGGTAATATGGCTACTGGTTGTAAGAGAGATGCAATTTGGAGCGAGTTTATTCAATCACCCGATGGCCGCGCATGATGCAATCATTGTAACAAAGAAATGGCTGGGTTGGTTGCATGAATGAAGAAGCATTTTAACGATGAACACAAGGATCTCGTGGCAGTGCAGCCTATCAGTTTCAAGCAACCGAAACCAGGCACTGTGGAATCACTTGTTACCAAAACAACACCTGAAGAGAAACGGAAGCTCGATTCATCTGTTGCTCGTTACTTCTATTCTTCGAACACACCATTTAGAGATGTTGAAAACCAAGAATTCCAAGACATGATCCAAGCTTTACATCCCGGTTATTCTCCTCCAAATAGAGCACAAATTGGTGGTAATCAACTCGATTCTGTCTACTCCGAGTTACGGAAAACCACTGCAGAAAAGCTAACGGGTCAACTCGTCACTTTATCAGTCGGCTGTTGGAGATGAATGTCAACAATAAGTCTATATTCGGTTTCTGTATCCAAGACTATCAGAAAACTTATATTGTTTCTATCAAATACATGAGTGACAAAAACCAAATTTCCGAATTTTTGTGTGAAGTGGTCATGGAAGGAATCGAAAATATTGAAAAAAAGTTCGAATTTACCATTTTGGGCCTGGTATCAGACAATGCTGAAAACATGAAAAAAACTGCGCAAATTGTGTCCGGACCAGAAACCAACCCTCATAACTAACGGATGTGCTGCCCACCAACTGAACTGATTGGCGCATGACTTACAGCCTGGCCTATTGGTATAGAAAGTTGTAGCAATAGCAAAAATTTTTCTGAACAATCAGCTGCCGAATAACTGGATTTCAACCAGAAAACATGAGAAAACCGCTTCTACCGAGTGAAGTACGATGGAGCAGCTGTGTTAACTTGCTCAATTGGTATTTGAATTCATGGACATTTATGAAGCAGTATGCTGATCAAAGCCCCGAAAAAATCAGAAAGGTCCGGCAGCTGAAGTAGCGAAGTTGTTAAAAGATATCGTTATTTACAAAAATGTGGAGGATGCTTACGCTGTTCCCAAACCTGTATCCGAGTGCTTAGATCTTATCTTATGCAATCAAACAACAGCACTGTTGCCGACGCCGTTTGGGCATGGAAAAAACTGCTCGACAGTTTTCGTGAACGAGGCATGGAACGCCGAGAGTGGTTGGAATTCGCAGTTCGCTGCCTATTTGTTAGGCCCTTTGTATTTCGGCGAAGATTTAACGGAGAATGAACGCAAGCGTGTCATCGACTAGATCAAAGCGAAGCATCCGGAATGCAACAGTGAAGTCATTAACATTATTGGAGAGACCTTACCGGTTCTAAAAATTGTATTCTAAAAATACACAAAAATTTACCCTTTAAAATTTTTTGAAGTATCAATTAGCTATTGGGAAGATTTCGAAGGAAATTGGGGAAATCGCATTGAAGATGGAAAAACTGTCTCCCAGTTCAGCTGGTCTCAAAGAAATGTTTTTGACAATGGGCTATATCCAAGACGACTTTCGAAACCGTCTTGGCATGGAAAAACTTGAAAAACTAATTTTCATAAAACATGTGCTGAGCAGCTAATTTTTGTCAATTATGAATATTTTTTTTGTGTTAAACAAGTTTAAAACGTTTTTAAAACGTTTTGTTTTGTCAGAATCATGTTTTTTGCAACCCTGGAGAGAGTATACCTCAGTCCAGAAAAGCTCAGAATCAAAGATTGCCTAGCTCTCATAAAATTTGAAAAAAAAACTTTTGGAAATTAATTTTGTCGGTGTATCATCAAAACATCACAGTTTAATGAAATCATTCACGGTTAAAAAAAACGCTCTGATAAGAGAGCTCCATGCTCGATCAACTATTTTTTCGAGAATTCTGGATAGGAAACAATTAAATCTGAAACATTAAAAAAAATGCAAAACAATCTCCCAATTTACAGAAACTTAGAATTTCGCGGTTGAGTCTCAACCGTGTTTAAGCTTCCCGCTATCAAGCGGAAGGTCGGATGTTCGAAGCCCACCATGATCAGTGCTCGTTGCTTGAGGGTGAAGCAACAATACCCAGCCCAGAAAAATAACCAAAAAAAATTGCATGTAGTTCTTAAACAGGGGCGCAATAGCGGTTCGCCGTGATGAGCTGTACAGCTCTTGTACTAGTCCTTTCCCCCGTGGATAAACGGTCTTAATCTTAAGTTCGAAATTAAATCTGAAAAAGAAAATAAACTATTTCTAAGATTTTCAAAACGTTTTTTCATTAAGTTTCGAAATTCCGAGTTAGACCGTAACCAAAAATAATTGCTTTTGTTTATAAAACATTAACAAATAAAGAATCCCAAAAACTAAGAGCGGTGGCATCCAGTAGCTGTTTCTAATTTCCATTTTTAATAATTTACCTTATTCTTTATTTCATCATATCAGTAAAACCAAAAAGTTTTACTGTCGCTACAAATTTTAAAAAAAACTCCCGTAAACCGTACACAATACTCAGGCTAACGGACAGACAAGCTAGCCTAAGGCAAGCTAGCCGACAGACAATGAGATGAAAGCCTCAAAGAGCGTTGAAACAAATATCAGAATTTTCATATGTACCTCGATTTGCAAAAGTTCATTATGAGGAACACATACCAGTTGAGTATCTGCCACTGTTGAATTACTATTGAAAAAACACTAACAGAGTTTTAACTAGCCTGATAAAACTTACACCATTTAAAAAATGTCAATGAAAAATAACCATCAACCATGCTTTTACACCAATCAAACTTTTACACAAAAAAAATTGAAACAGCAAACAAAATCTCATAAAATGAACTAAATTAGAGCTGGTAAATTCTCAACCAACATAAAAACAAATTTCAATTGGAAAGGTTATTTGAAAAGCAGACATGCTCAAAAGATGTTTTTTTTGCCAAAATCAGAAAGTTGATTAAATTGTTCAAGGTGTTTTAGTTAAACAAGTAGTTAATCAAAAAAGTTCATGTTCCAATATGATAACGATTGCTAATTACATGCGTAAAAAAGAAGCACCATGCAAAATGAAAAACAAAAGGTTGGTTACAAAACTGTTACGATGGCAACGCAAAGTCATCTATTACAATGTGAACTAAATTGAAAATGAAAAAAACTAGCGCATGATTCGCAACTACGGTGCTTCCAACAGATCGTTGAACGCAAAAAATAGCTTTTTAAAACATGCTCTAAAACAACGATATTTTAGTGACCCTATTTAATGCAACCACGAAGACAAACTGGGCTCATCTATCAGGAGTTTCTTTTTCATTAAAAAAACCTTATCTCGAAAAACAAATTGATTTGCAAATAAGATTAGAGGCCAGATTTGCGACCCCAAATGGTTCCCTGGCAGCATCCCACCATAGGGTTAAGAACTTCAAGTTATACTACTTATTTTAAGATCAAAGTTTTTTTTGAAAAAATCATGAGAAACGCCATATCTCTAAAACAAAAAGATTTGAGCAGTAAAGGTTAGAGGCCCTGACAGTACCCCTTGAAGTAGCCTGATAGTAAATCTTAGAGTCACTGAGAGTACCCCCAATTTGTACCTTGACAGTACTCCCTGATTCTACCCTGACACTACCCCACCATTACGGTAGAGAATTTCAAGATCGGTTAGTTTTTTAATTCAAGTTTTTTTAAACAAAAAGGGAAAAATTATAGAATGGAGCCAAATCTCAGAAACCAAAAGATATTGATAGTCACATTTGAAGAGAAGAATTGCAATCCCTGAGTGTACCCCGACAGCACACCAACAAAAGGTTGAAAGTTTTGAGTTCAATTAATTTTGTTTTATATCTAAGTTTTTTTGAACAAAAAAGAAATCATGAAAAACTCCATATCACGAAAACCAAAATGATTTGAGCAGTCAAACTTGGACGCCAGATTTGCAACTCCTGAGTATAACCTGACAGTACCCCACTATAGGGTTGAGAAGTTCAAGTTCGGTTAGTTTATTTTATATCAAACTTTTTTTTTGAAAAAAAAAAAAAAAAAAAATGAAAAACCATTAAACGCCATATCTCATAACAAAAAAGATTTGAGCAGTCATATTTTGACGCCAGCTTTGTAACTCCTGAGTATACCCTGACAACACCCCACCATAGGGTTGAGAGTTTCAAGTTCGGTTACTTTGTTTGAAATCTAATTTTTTTTGAATATTGAAAAAAAAAACGCCATATCTAGAAAACCAAAACGAATTGAGCAGTCATATTTGTACGCCATCTTTGCAAATCCTGATTTTCACTGAAAGTACTCCACTTGAGGGATGAGAATTTCAAAATAGGTTACTTAATATTATATCTATTTTTTTGAAATAAATTTATTTTTGAAAAAAAAACCATAAAAAGGCCATATCTCGAAAACCAGAAGGATTTGAGCAACCATATTTAGAGGCCAGCTTTGCAACCCCTGAGCGTACTCTGACAGCACGCCACTACAGGGTTGAGAAACTCAAATTTGGTTACTTTATTTTATATCGAATGTTTTTTTAAAAAAACATAAAAAATCATGAAAAACGGCCTATCTTGAAAACCAAAAGGATTTGAGCCATCGTACTTGGACGCCAGATATGCAACTCCTGGGTGTAACCCGGCAGCTTCCACTATAAGATTGAAAAAATAAAATACAGATTCAAAAAATGGTGATACAAAAACTTGATAGTTTTACGTTGCGAATATAGAAAAAATGCAAGTTAAAAAATGAGTTAAAGCATTCGCCCCTAAATAGATTTTAAAAGGTCGACTTGAGAAAACATTTCAACCCTTCAATGTTTTGGCCATTTAACAGATCAACATAGCGACTTCTTCAACATTTGTCAAGTGAAATTCCTTAAGCATTACAAAATACGATATAGCTTAAACGTGAAGAAAATTTTTCATTAAACATGCAAAAAAATGCGGTCTAAAAGCTTAAATATGTCAACATAGGGACTTCTAAAATATGTCGACATAGGGACTTCTTAAACATGTCTCACGTGAAACGCCAATTAAATAATGCATAGATAGATTAGGAACTCTTCAAAAAAACTTGCGTTCCTATAAAATCTTGAAAAAAAGCATTCGAGCTTCACTTCAAGGATGACGCAAACCTAGCATGACCTTGAAAAATTTAATCAATGATTTAAATTATAAACAAAAAACTGATTATAACAATCTGAAATTTTTTTTCCAGATGTTGACTCAAAATTTTCTTGTCCATGTAGATGTTAACTTGTTCCATGTAAAATTGAGCCAATAACTGATGTAGAGATAGAAAGGTCGATAAAAAGATAGATATATAGATGGACAGATAGATAGATAGACAGATAGATTGATACAGACACAGACAGGCAGGCAGGCAGGCAGGCAGACAGACAGACAGACACAGATAGACACAGACAGACAGACACAGACAGACAGATATATAGGTAGATAGAGAGATAGATATAGAGAGATAGATATATAAAGATAGAGAATTTCACTTTTCTAACTCGAAGTCCTTCGCGTTTTTTCGCTCAAGTTTTCATTTGGTTTTTGGAGAACGTATTTAGGTTTCCATTTAAAAATGAATTTGAATTGAACATAAAATGAATCAAGTCATGCTGCCAAAAAATTACGGTGAAAAATTCTAGATCTTTCCCATTATAGCCCTCTCCTCGCGCTATGATTTGACCATTATGGGAAGTGTCCATTTGGTTGATGGGGATAGAAAGTTTGTTATGAGTGACTTTAATCTGAAAGAACCCAAGTTTTGAGAGTTTCCCTAAAAATAAAACGAAAAAAACACTTAAATATGTGGAAATTAACATTGTTCACCAACACTTGAAAACGATCTAATAATATTTTTTAAATTATATTGAGGCGCAAATGTACCAAAATAAAAATCTATTTGAAGGCTAAAATAGAAATAATCATTGTCTTTGGGAATTTACCATTCTTTCTTAGCTAACTTCATGAACATGGAATTCTTCGATATTTATTGGAAATAGCGTGTTGTCTCGCGCTCTTCTAAACAATGACAGAAACATTTCAAAAACATATTCAACCGGGTAATTTCTAAACAGATCCTCATAACCAGGGAAATGATTTACGTCTATTACGTAGTAATTTCTAGTATCACGACACATGATTAAGTCCATGCCGAATAGGGAAAGCTGAGTCAGTTGAACAAATTCATGAACGAGTTTTTTCATCACGCTTTTATCCACGTTAACTTTAGTCCGTTCACCAATCAAATCGCTTGTGCTGTTAGGCTTAGAGACTTCGGGTGTCAGAAAATTGAGGTAGACTTCAGGGTAAGATGAAGGGTGGAAGTTTTTGACAGAAGGTCGCTGACAGATGAAGATATGTGTTCCGATAACGTAAACTTTAATGAGACACGAATCGTGATTAATAAACCTCTGAATTGAAACTTCAGCTTGCGGATTGCTCTGCAAATACTTCACCAATTGCATCTCGGTGAAAACTAACGTCATCCTATGAGCCTCTGAAGCACCACTACATAACATTGGTTTGCATATTAAAGGATACTTCAAATCATGACTCGCCACAAAATCGCTCAGATCTTGCTGCACTGAAGACGATTTGGCTTCCACACTCGGAAAACAATTTACAATACAGCCAAGTTCCCTACACGTTCGTATAATCAGCTCGTTCGTTTTGATGCGGTTCAGAAGTGTCCAGGACATTTCAACATCGTCGAATAAGTCTATTGCCGGATGTTTTGCACAGAAATCTCTCACCATTTTCCAAATTTCTTCAACTGATTTTGCTGTCAGAATGCTGTCGGAAAGTTTGTATAGAAGAAAATCAATTTTTGATATGTCAATTTCAGGTAACAGTTGGCAGAAATCGTCAGCAATAATGGCGATTTCGATATTGTGTGGTTTCAGGAACTCCATGAACTGATCGATTCTCAATTTATTTAATTTTACTTTGGTGACCCATACTCCAATTCTAAAAGTTTCGTACATTTTCTGAAAACGAAAACACTGAAAATTGAACCTATATTTGAAAAAATTTATTGAACATATGATATTTTTTGCCCTATTTACATCGTCCAAAATCGTAAGAAAATATTAGATACGGTGAAAGCACCACTACAACATTGGTTTGCAAATTAAAGGATACTTCAAACAAGGCTTATATTTTCTTACGATTTTGGATGGAAATAGGGCAAAAAATTCCCAGCAGTGACAGGGATTCGTCCAGCATACAAATGCTTGGAAATTTAGGAAATTAGGCATAATCGACAACAGTCTTCAAAAAGAACAGCAAACAAAAAATAACAAACGTTACTCGACTGCTTTTCTCGCTCGAAATTGGACTAACAGGTGTTTTTCTCGAAATTCGGCAATTTTTTTTGAAAAATTCTTTTTTTAATGTTGTTCAAATCGCACTTGAAGGGGCTTTTAATTAACGTATCACTCAACCCATTCCGATTATTATTCGTGGTACCTGATTTTGCGTGGCAAAAAAAACAAACACCTCCCCATGTTCAATGGTCTGAACAAAAAGGCGAAATGTGAAACTTCTCGAAAACACTTGCTTGAATTTTCACGTAGCTATCTATTCATAGACCATTCTCCAAACGATACAATATTCATTTCACGCCGAAGTTTTGTAAAGTCTTCCTTGAGCATGTCTTCAAACTTGAAATTCAAAAGCAGCTTTGCTCGTTTGCCAGCATGCAGAGCCCAAGGTAGATAACGCATGAAGTAGTCTCTCCTCTGTGCACGTGGGATACTCGGCACGCCACCAATAATACCCAAATAGCACATTGGAAACCCTGTTTGCGCAGCCTCGAAGGCTTTCACCACGCTTTCTCCGAGGAGGTCGATGTCCTGTTCGAGAAACACGTGATAGAAGTCGTGGATCTCGCGGTACCTTTGAATGACGTAAGCGGTCTCTGCGTCTACCACATAACGCACAATTTCTCTACTGTCAGGTGTGACACCATTATTCTTCAACCAGTTGAAGTACTTCTTTCCCAAAGTGTTCTCTTCTAACTTCTCCAAGTCACTTAAGCGCAAAATCTTCGAGTTCAATCGCGGCTTTTCCGCCAAAATTTGTTTACCCATCGGATCTGCCGTCATTTTTCGATGCAAATTTTCAGCAGCACTGACACCGGTTACTTCATTAAGGGCATTCACCATATCTGCCCTCTTGGGGTCAAAAGTTGCCACTGCTGCAGCTCCAATACCCAACAGGGCTCTCTGAGACCATCGGGTTTCTCGTAACTGCTCGGAATGACTAACTATCCATGTCGACTGCGCACGCTTCAACTGACCCACAAGCCGCGGCGTCAACCGACCGTAGCTAACTTTAACCACCATCACTCATTCTGAAAGAAGAACGCGCTACAAACTGGAATTATTACGAGCAAATAAACGTCCGTTTCTATGTAAGCATCCAAAATTTACAAAAGAGTATACTTTTTTCGGTGAACGCTATGTTTACACTTACATTCTAAGTCGCATTGTATTAGTTCTATAACCTCATATCTTTTTATCTTTTAGACAAATAGTTTCAACGCAGATACAAAAATCAAATTTCAGTTTTGAAGGCAAGTTTAAAAAACCAAACTGATATGCTTTTAATTGAAGACCTGATGGCTTATTTTGTCATTTAAAAAGCAACCCGTTCAAAATTAAACAAACAACCAAAGTATTCAATAGTTGCCGCTTGGCATGTTATAGACTTCAGACATGTTATAGACTTTGATATCTTCAAGAATCAGTAGTATAAATCGAGTCAAAATCGTCTGCGGGTGCAGACCTCCATGTATTAAGACAGGCTATAGATTTCCGGTACCGCACCCGATCTATTAACATAGGGAATAGATTTCCCAATGTGTTAAGATAGATTATAGTTTTCAGAGTTTCAGATGGTAAAATTCAGATGGTAAGTTTGTTCAACGCACCAAATTTCCCGTGAATTAATATTGTGTATAGATTTCCCTATGTATTAGAATTAGTAACAGAAATTCAAGGTATTATGATAGGGAATAGGTTTCGCAATGTATTAAGATAGGTTTCAGAGATTTAGATTGTAGATCGTAAGTTTCAAAAAAATTTTGGCGCCCAATTTTGCCATGTATTAAGATAGGATACAGATTTCTCTATGTATTAAGATGGCTAATAGAAATTCCATGTATAAAGATAGAAAATAGATTCTGTAATGATACAATGTTTCAGTATCATATCGAGCAATAATCTTAACTTTTTGAAAATAGCACAAACCTCTAGTTTTTTTTGCACTAAAACTCGGCGCGCGTTAGCTAATTGGTAAATATCAATAGTTTTTTACGTGTGGATTGAGGAATGAAGATATTTTATTATGTATTTGGTTCATGGTCAATGATTAAAACTTTGCAAAAAAATTGTATTTTTTCAATTTTCCTATTTCGAAAAACTTCAAAATTTCAAAAAAATCTAAATACGATAAGATTCAATCTAATTTGAGCTAAAACTTGTTTTTTATTATGTTTGCTCACTCTTCAACGCATTACTCTATCTAACTGAATTTGTGCTGAAACCTAGCTGAAACTTCGGAAAAATCGTCTAAATAGTCCTATTTTGAAAAGAGTTACGTAAAAACGATTCAATTTAGACTCGGAATTTATCCAGAAGTTTCTGTACCAGAGGATATCTCTTTAGCTAACAGCAACAATTCAAATAATTAACTGAAGCAAAATTTCATGAAAAATTCCATGCATTGATTCTACTCTGGAATTTTGTAAAAGATTAACCAAAATTCTTTTGAAAGAGCCAAATTTAAAATCCATGTATCTAAAAACAACATATTACATCAGTACACTTTGAGAATTATTTTTTTGCTAAATTACCAGAAACCACATTTAAACCAAGTATATTTTTTATCACAATAATCATCCTAGAATCATGTATGAGACAAATTTGGAGGAATTCAAACTTCAGCAACTGAAAATGTTTTTAACACTATTTGTAGATGTTCCACTTTTCCGAAATGTTTCTCCTTGTCCATCTCTACTCAAGGAGTCTGGTTACTTCTCAAAACTGCTTCTGCAGAACATAGTTTTTCCTTGACCAGTCGGGTAATTATACTCCTTAAACGCATATTTTTGATTACTGCTGTATTTATCTTCTTCCAACGAACTTTTTTTGCATGCAAATTGACACTAAAAAGACAATAAAAAGACAATCAACACTAAAAAGACCGAGGAGTACTATAAAATAAATCAAAAAAAAAAAATTTCCTGCATATCATGAAGAATTCTTTGACTCGTTTACAGCTTGAAAAAACTCCAGTAGATACCAAACCTCTCCGTTGCAACCAGACTCATCATTGCAATCGTTTCCAGGAGACATTATGCAAATCGATATAGAAGGACCATTTCCATCAACAGTGTGTAAATTTGTCCTGACTTGAATAGATGCTTTATCTAAATATCTGTTTGCAGTACTATTGACAATTATCTCAGCCGATACAATTGCGAATGAGCTGACGAAAATATCCTTCACCCATAGCTACATAGCGAAACGAATCAAATCAGATCTAGGAACGGCATTTATATCTAAGCTAATGCACGAACTCACATCACTACTGGAAATCGACATAAGTCATGCTACGCTCAAATTCGTGCAGACAATTGGACTTGTCGAACGTTCTCATGCAGCACTCAAACGAATTTTGAAACTTAATACGAAAGAAGAATCGTCTGATTGGCATAAAAACGTCCCGTCCCCTTAACAACGTTGATACATAAACTATCCTAGTATTCATCATGTGGATGTAGCCCGAGCAAAATTTTAAACGGACAAGAACCAATAAAACCCTTGGACCTTCAATTTTCAAGCAAAGCACTGTTGAATCAGACTTGGCATCTTCAATGCAAGTTGCAATGAAAGAGAAGCTCAAGGAAACTCGCGGATATTACGAACAGAGAGCATAAGCGCAACCGTTAACTCTTTATTCGTACTGTTTTCTTCTTAATCCGAAATTAAAAACGCAATCAGATGGAAAATTAAAGGTACTACTTTGCAGTCTCATAGAACGGAATGGAGACATCTGTTCTCACACGAGAGCAATACGATACGTGTCTCGGTTACTCAACCAACAGAAATCGCCACCAGACAATGGTAATACAAAACTGTTTTGATCGAAGCCGGTAGCTGCTATAACCGTCTGTGAGACAGAAAAGACCATACTGCCTACACCGGAAAGAACAAACAATTTGGGATCAGGCATTTGGCTAATTACATCAGCTTCATCATCATTTTTGGTGGGAGTACGATCTGAATGAGGTTCTTACTCCATCTCGCCAGGAACACTCAGGAGCAACATTTGCATCATTACATTAGATTTCAGGACGCAATTAGCTTGCTGGAACAAGATTAGACCCGATCTTGGGAGTTGCGACAAGATTCCGTTAAGGCCAATGAACATCAGACTGTCAGACCCATAGCAGCAGCAATTCTGGAGATCAGTGAGCTTCCTTACTTTCAAACTACGACAAAAGCAGAAATCAAACTTTAAGAGGATGTCAAAATGAAACTGATTGACAGCCAATGGTTACGAATATAGAACAACTCGAGAATTTTTTTGCGCAATGATTGAAGTTACTGAAACCATGGCTTACAGAGAAACCGGACAATTGTGTTCCGATAAAGCTTTAACTAAAATTGACTGCAATAGTCTTTATTGGAAGTGACACTTCAGTGCTTGTGCTCTTACCTTTTTCACAGGTTCAACGCAATTCGAGATAATACTCTTAGATTCTTGAAGACAGCTCACGGAGATTTTAAAATCAAAGCAGTCGTATCGATGGATATTGACGAACGACCATGAAGGAAAGAAAAAACAGCGAGACTAATGGAATCAAAAGGAGAATGACAAAAGAAGTACACTTTCCTGGACGTGATTGACAAAACAGTTTCGGTCACGCAACAGGGAAGATCAATGACAGAGGGAAATTTCAATGACGAGATGTCGCAGTCTATGAACGGCAGAATGAACATGACGAGATCAACATCTTTAGGCGAAATGTCAGCAAAAGGACTGTATGGAACTTTCACGAAACTATAGCGGAGGAATTAAACTGACTCCGAACTCAGGAGTCTTAGGTGTGAAGCCTCCTTCGATCCAAGTTGGAGCCCAGTTCACTGATCAAACGGCCTAGCCATGAAGGAGACTGAGACAGGAACAAGTCGCATTTCATCCCTAATGTTGAAATCTGACCTAATCATTTAATTGATCATTCAATTTCAAAATTGACTCTTAAGGTTCTCGTGGTGGCTTATCAATGAATTTTAATCAATGCTTTCATTGTTGACATTTTCAGCAGGTCTCAAGTCCTGATCTAATTTTTTTAAAATATAAGAATGACAATGTTATCTTTAGGGCTATTGTTTAAATAAATCCTATAATTGTCAAAAATTTATATGATGTAAATCATTTAATGGGCATTTGGCGTATACAATTTTGATACGAGGAGTAAAGGATTGGATTAAGAGTCAGATCACCGTATATACTTTACAATTTTGTTGTAGCAGTGTATACCTAGAATAGCAGCTAAACGAACGAGACTAAAGTTCGATTTAAAATTATTCTATACTTAGTTTTTAAAATGAAAATTCTTACTTCAGTGTTAATTTTATAAACCCTGAAAATTATAAAAGGAACCCTTGAATGACGCCAATAATAACCATGATAAATTCATGCTTTATTGAGGTGCCAAGTCAATAGTTATTGTTCCGACCATTTGAAAAATGGGGGAACTTCGTGTTCGGATGTGTTATAGTTTTTTATGTTTTCCACGCAAAATAAGGTACCAATAATCATCCGACTGGATTGAGTGATATATCATATTAAAGCCGTTTCAGTCGTGATTCGAACCACATTTAAAAAGTTTCTAAACAATTTTCCGTGTCGAGAAAAACTGGATTGAAATTTTTGATTTTTCAACTTAATTCGAGCAAAAAAGCAACCGAGCAGGCTTACAATAGCTGCATAATGCCTAATTTAAGACCTTAAAACTTGATTTTAAGCAAGTAGAACTAGTTTTTTTGAGTTTTGCAGTTTCATTTTGGGACCCAAAAACTTCAGAAAAATCAAAAATTTTCTGCAAAAATTTTTGTCCAACTTGCCTATACTAGTATGACTGTCTGATATGCCTTATTTATATTTCTACGTCAGACCTTTTTATCACATCAAGCAGAAAAAACTACACTAATTTGAATAGTTTTCTAAAAACCATGGTCGGAACATTCTGTGCTACTTGCACAGTAACCAGCTATCCTTGTTAAAGTTATGAAATCGATTGAACAATTGTTAACATAATGTAAATAATGAGATGGATCTACACTAAAAGGGTGAA